GCCGTACAGCAGTTAAGTTCGTAACTAGAGGTACCACTGTATATAGTTTTAATGGTTACAGTGGATAGAGTTCATTTTATAAGAATGGGTCTGCATATTCATAAGAATGTAGATATGAATTATATCAATCCTTGTGATGAATAAAGTGGTGCAAAGATTTAGTGACAAAACCGTGATGTTTCATTAGAATCCTTTCATATTCTCAGTAGCTCTCCAGAATTTAAAAGAGAACATAGTTTTCATAATTTTAAGTTATTCTTTTATTTATCAACAACATTATAATTAAAGTTAATAAAGTTACTGATGATTTTGCATTGTGTTCATGTGGAATTGCTGGATTTAATGTTCATTTCTTCACATTTTAGCATGTGTAATACTATATAGTTTTCAATTTATTAAATTTGATGTTTTGTGTTTTCTTCTCTAAGGCATATTGTGTAACAGAACCTGGAGCAGGCTCTGATGTAGCAGGTCTAAAGACAAGAGCTGAAAAGAAAGGAGATGAATATATTATTAATGGACAAAAAATGTGGATCACCAATGGTGGCAAGGCTAATTGGTATAACAATTGCTACTTAAATAAGGCTTAGTCCTGTGTCCCTGGAAGAACGTCCCATTGATATTTTTTTCAGGAGATGTGTAGAGGCTCCTACTATACCTTTATATTTTCAGTAGTGTTTACATTTTAAATATAAAAATTAAAATATGCAAAAACAATTTTTCAATATTATGTTCATTCTTGTATCATACTGAATATAACCAAGCAAGAGAATACTTGAACTTGAATGGGTGGGCTTATTAGACAATCAATTTTTATCTCATCCATTTGGGCAATGGTAGTATCTCCCTCATTCTAAATCATAAGTCAATTTATTTAAGGGGGAAAAAAGGAATGAAAAGAGGAATTTCAATGGTTGTGTGGGCTAAGAAATAAGGGCAGGTATATAGGGGAGAAGTCATTCCTTCATCCAGAATCAGTATTTAAATACTGATATTTCTAGTTTTATGTATGAATTGGATTTAGAATCAAATCTTAATCATGTTAAGATCCACTGAATTTATTGGGACATACATCTGAATAAAAATAAAGAATTATGCTATAACTCTGTTCTATCCCCTCATGAGAAATGTGTGATCAGTATTTTATACGTGATAAAAAAGCTACTAGAGAATTAATAGCTTATGATGGTCTGTAAGCAGATGTTGAAAAACTGATGTTGTGGTTTTGGTGTGTTCCAATTAGGTATTTTTTATTGGCACGTTCTGATCCTGATCCGAAAACTCCTGCAAGTAAAGCTTTTACTGGATTTATTGTGGAGGCTGACAGCCCTGGAGTACATATCGGAAGGAAGGTAGAATTGAAACATTTTAATGTTAATTTAAACATTTTGAATCAGTTATTCTGAATTAGTAGTCAAGAAATCATCAGCTAGTAAATTTCAAAAGCTAGCTTGATGTAATCATTGAGTTGAAGAGTCACTGGACTGAATTTGGAGAAGCACTTTACAAAGCTTTGCTCAAACATTAATCTAAGAAACTTTCAGATGCTAAATTCATAATAATATACCATCAACCACAAAAATATATCCCCCCAAAGTCCATAAATGCATCCAGATATTTTTTTTAAAAAAACCTATAATTATAAAACCATACTAAGTGGCATCCACATCCACCTTGAGTACATAGTTCACAATTTTTGGAGTCCCTGAATGGCCACTTAAGGAGCCAGGTTTTCACGATCCCAGTAACTGTGATTCTTCCATCTCCGTGCAGCTTTCAGCTCCTCTTGAAAAACAGTACTAGAGGACTTTCCAGAATACAGCACAGGAAATGCTGAGAAATGCCCGCAAAAAGGGGGAAAAAATGAAAATTACCTCTATACACCCATATCTCTAGTGAGTTATCTGCTGGATTCCGTTGCCTTTTGCAAATGGAGGAACATTTTCCAATCTCATAGCGATCCTTTGGGGATTCTTCCAGAGATTCTGCCTGTTCTTTTACAGAACACTTGTAATTTTGATAGTTTAATTATGAATGGCACACTAAATATTTGTCCCATTGTACATGCACACCATGGAGCGCGCACGCGCGCGCGCGCACACACACACACACACACATATAGTACCTTATAATTATGTACAAGCTTGTTTCCTTGTGTTCCAAGTAGATAGTATAATTGCAATGTTCTTTCTGTCAAGAGAATGAGCCCTCAAATATAGTAAGCCCAATAATGATAAATTATTGGTAACTAAATTATAACATAGAATTCATTATTTATGAATGAAATAAAATAGACTAACAAATTACAAGATTAGTTTCTTGACCTGTTTCTCAGTTTGCTGTTTCCCCGCACTACGTGTAAGATCTTGTGTCACAAGAGAGAAGGAGTTTTCACATGCAGGGCTTGCTGTCAAAAGGCAGATGACCTTGTGATCAATACAGACCTTTTGAATCCTTACCTGAAATGCTATTTATTTACATAGATTTATATGCATGTCAGATTGTCTTTAAAAAAAAGAAAAGGCTTCTCTAATCATGCCAATGGTGTGATTAATAATACCACACCTTTTTTTTTTCATTTGCTGAAAGGCAAAAGTTCATATTTGTCAAGTGCTCTGAAAAATTTTTTTTTTTTATTAAGGAGTTTTGAGGAGGGGAAAGGCGAAAAAAGCAAAAATAGAAAAAAAACAAAGTAAATGAACATGGAATTTACAAACATCATAAAGTTAAATAGGACTAAATTTGTTAGGCAAGAATTTTCAGTATTTCATTAGTTAGGTTTACATAACTGAATACAGGTAGTCCCCAGTTTAAGAATGAGTTCTGTTGCAAGGGTCTGTCCTTAAGTCACATTTGTATGTAAGCTCGAACAGTATTATTGTATAATATAAGTAGTATTGTATAATACTACTGTATAAGTAGTATTGTCTAATGAACTCAAACCATTGTTTATTTAACTCAAATCATTGTGTATTTAACTCGAATGTTGCTACAATAGGTTCTATTCTGAAAAATGGATCATCTGCAACCTGTTCTTAACTCGGGGACTACCTGTATATTGCTTACAAAACTGCAAATTATTAAAATCCAAGTATTATATATCAACAGCAGTAATATGCATAGCATAAATCTTGAAATAAGATTAGGAATTACAGTTATTTCTGTCCAAAATTCTATGCTTCTTTAATAGATCGTAGAAAGTTAGAACATTAAGATTTTATGCTAAGAGAAACTCAACTTTTGGATGTGGTACAAGCCCACATATAGAATTATAATACAGAAATGATTTCCAAGTTGAATTAAATTTTGTGTTAGATTTACTTTTGAAATATAAAGTTACTTTGGACATCAGAGTGTACTACCACAACTTAATTAGCCATTCTTCTGCAAAAGGAACTGCGTATATTTTCTAATAAGTATAAAGTATTCTTGCAGTAGTTACCTTGTACAAAGCTATTTGGGTATACATTGTGGGAATAGAGGGTTAGAGATGTGTAAAAGAAAAATAGCAGTTGGAAAGGAAATTAAGCTTTTAGAATTTGTTTCATTCTACTGTATTAAAAATCATTTTCCAAAATTGCTGAGCTTTATGACATTACCACCAAAAGTAGGACCAAATCTGATCGTTACGTTTCCAACAACTTTTAGAAAATGAACTGTCCATTTAAGTTATCAGTATTGGAGTAATATATGGCGGAGGTGCTGTCAGGTCTTGGAACTATGTTTAGTTTGAAGTTTTGTATTGCTTATTTTCCTTCATCTTCTGTTACTAATTTATTAAAGAGTTTCCTTTTGTTGATCTGTGAATTTCGTTAGTAGTATTGCACTCTTCAGTCTTTATTGGATTATATATTTATTTACTATATAATCTTGAATAGTATTTAATAAGTTGCTCTGTCATCTCCTTTGTTGTGGAAATATGTCCATTTCCATCCCAGATAGAAGTAATAGTTCTTTTGTTGTGTTCCTTTTGCAGTTGGTATGCCAACAATTTATCTGACTTACTGCCTTTTTCAAAATACTCCTACTAAGCAAAAATATTACATTCTTGTTCTACATCCAAAACGGGATTATGCTTGTGACTTAATTCTAATTGCTTCTGTTCATTTAACAGTATGTCCTTTTGTTTTTGCATAGCTTTCTTTCTATTTGATGCCAGAGATAAACAATTCCCCCATAAATGCTTTGCTAGAATCCCATACTATAGATAAAGAAACATCAGGAATTAAGTGGATTTGGAAGAAGCTTTTTAAGTCCTGTTAGCACTTCAATTTGATGTTCTCCCGCAGTAGTAAGCGCAATAGTAAAATTAACTCTTCACCTCTTCTGTTTGAAAGTTCCTCTGTTTAATCTTACTGTTACTGGATTATGAACTGCATATGTAGGGGCTGCAATTCCCACATTTATGAGATTAGTTAACAATGAGTTAGAAATTCAATCCATATTCTATTCCCAAGTAAGTTTTGTGAACTGTAGAATAATAAATATAGGCTTTCTCTGCAGGATATTTGTATCTCCATACATCAAAAAGAAATAATGGTGACATATAGCTTTCAGGGAGTTGATCAGGGGTCCTTTTAGATAAAGCAGATGTCCATGTTTGGAGGAAGAAATCCATTCATACCTGGAAAAAAAATATTATTTTAGGTTGTGATTATTGTGTCGGGATGATTGAAACAATCTATATTTCATAGGCAGATTCTGTATGTAGCCACTTACTAGTAGGTTGCACTGGATTCAGTGGACTTTATGCTTTAGTATGTGAACAGGGAAAGCTTGAGAAACATGTGGCCCTCCAAATGTTGCTGAACTAGAACCTCAGCCACCATGGCCAGAGATAAGGACTTACAGAGCCAATAGTCCAGTGTCATTTGGAGAGCCACAGGTTCCTATTTCTGGGCATAAGTTTGAAGCTACAATCTAAATAACATTCCTTCTTAATTTTGAATTAGCTTAGTATTTGAGTGAGGAAAGGATTTGATCACTGTATCTTTTATAATTAGAAAAATTCAATTAATAAACATGGAAATGCATGAATCAAAAGTAAACTGAAAATAATACAAATAGAGTTTATCAAAAGGAAGTATAACTAGGCAAAATAAAATTGGTATCTAGACAATACAGCAAATTATTTTCTGAGTTATATTCTCATTTTAAAATATATTGTCTTCCTAGTACTAATACTTGGGATTTCTGATTTTATGAAGAATTTGATTCTAAATATGTAAAAACCTGAATATGTGCTGAAAGGTCAAATTAAAGATTAATATTACAGTTTTATTTCTTGTATTTGCATTAGTGTATCATCTTTCAATTTGCTGGGTTTTGATTTTATAATTTGCATTAAGTTTTAATTAAATTATATTCCTACATTACAATGTGTTGACAACATCAAAATCATGACATTTCAAAAAATCTTTATTGACTTTATTTTAATGTGTGTGTAAAAATTAGTATACTGTAGGTGCAACAGGTGTAAATCTTATATTTCTGATGAACCTACTTTAGTTTTATTGAATTATAAAATAGAATAATAATGGTAATTATCTTATAAAATTCCTTTTCAGGAGCTTAACATGGGTCAGCGGTGTTCAGATACAAGAGGGATTGTTTTTGAGGATGTAAGAATACCTAAAGAAAATGTACTTCTTGGTGAAGGAGCTGGCTTTAAAATTGCCATGGGAGCATTTGATAAAACAAGGCCTCCAGTGAGTATTCAAAGTAAGTTTGAAAGAGGAATTCTAATTGTAGAAATATCATTTTATAATATTCATTACTGATGTACAGGTAGCAGCTGGTGCTGTTGGATTAGCACAGAGAGCTTTGGACGAAGCTACAAGATACGCTATGGAAAGAAAAACCTTTGGGAAAGTCCTTGCAGAGGTATGTGAAATTCCAATTACAGATACAATATGGTGTGAAAACAAATATTCCATTCCTAGTTCAAGCTCAATTAGACTTTCTCTTTTCTTGCCTTGTCCCTCACTGCATCCTCTCCTATGGATTTTGAGTATGCGTAGAGAGTTACAAGGAAGAATCATCCCATTCAGTTCCAATTAGTGGAACTTGTTTCTGCTAATGGAAGCGCATATTTGAATTCTTGTAGTTTGTAGGAAGTATGTTTGAAAAGATTATTTTTCACAAAGTCTTGTATTTGGAAATTTTCAATAATGCAAAAGTCACAATAAAGTCACAATAACAAAATATTTAGTTAGTCTTACCAGAAGCCACTTAATATAGATGAAGAGAATCTTGTGTGGCATAAGAAGTTTAAAAATGGCTTCACTTGTTACTTCACTTGTTATTGTATACCTACTGCTGATACTGTCATTATATGTTATATAATACATTCCATTGCAGCTAAATCTAAAATAGTGGTGGGTAAATTGTTGGTCTTCAGCAACTGTGGCCAGCGGCTAAGAATGATGAGAATTGCGATGCAACATCCCAGAAGGCCACAGAATACCTACCCATTTACAGAATTACTGAATTTGTATTGTGCTCATTATATATTAATACACATTTTATGCATATTTGACTATAAGCCATTTGAGAACTTTCTTGTTTATCCAAAACACATGAAATCTACTGCCTTACAGTAAGTATGCGTAAGTATGTCAGATCAAATCAACATTGCTTGCAATAATTGTAATGCAAAGATGCTAAACAAACATAGCTGGGAGTAAGATAAAAATAATAGTGAAAGAATTATGAAGATTTAAAAATCTATAAATACTGCACTTCTGTTCATTTATGACTTGTAATGTAGTGCAGAATCTTGAGCAGTGAATTAGGGGTTTGACTACTGTTCATATCCTGTGGAATTCTATAGAATTACTTTATAACAGAAGATGGAATTGTGTATACTGCTAAAATGCACACTACCTTTGCATATTTGGAAATCAAGTTTTCAATGCTTACTTTCACCCCTCACTCAAACAATCCCAGCACCAAGCAGTGTCCTTCATGCTGGCTGAAATGGCAATGAAAGTGGAACTATCTCGCCTGGCTTACCAGAAGGCAGCATGGGATATAGATGTTGGTCGTAGAAATACCTACTATGCATCTATAGCAAAGGCATATGCTGGAGACATTGCAAATCAAGTAGCTTCTGATGCTGTCCAGATTTTTGGAGGAAATGGATTCAATAGTGAATATCCAGTAGAAAAGCTAATGAGAGATGCAAAAATATACCAGGTAAGTAATCTTAATCACAAAATGCCATTAGTACATTTAAGGTAAATTTATATATTCTAAAGTAATAATTCTAAAGGAAAAGTGCAGTTTTTGGTTGTTGTTGCACATGCAGGCACTCTCTATCATCCTGACCCATGGCATCTATTCTATTGCCCTCTGAAAGAATATAGTACAGGTAGTCCCCAGGTTAAAAACACCCAGGTTACAAATGACCCATAGTTAAGAATGGAGGCTATTGTAGCAAATTAGAGTTAAATACGCAATGACCCGAGTTAAATACACAGTGGTTGGAGTTCATTACATAATACTACTTATACAGTATTTTACAATAATACTGTTCCAGCTCACATACAGATTTGACTTAAGGACAGATCCTTAAATGTACAAGTGCAGATTTCATCATACCTGCCTGTTACATATTTTCACATTAGATAATATATAATTAAACTTAATTAGTTTTATACAGAGTAGGGATTTTGAGTTTATGAAAGATCAGTCCCATATGAAAACTGCTTTTGAAACTCTCAGTTTTGGAAGACTTTCAAAGCAGTGTGATTTGCCATCATAGCCTGTTATTCCGAAGAAAAAGACAAACAGCCTAGTAGCCCTAGGGTCAAGTTTAATCA